GAGGGGTGGGCGGGGGTGTGCTGGCAGGGCCTCTGGGTGGATAGGCGGTGTGGCATGGTGCTGGTCCAGATGGAGAGGGCGCCCCACGGGATCTGTCTTCACTGCCCCTTTTTATAGGGGCAGACCTTGTGTGACCCTAGTGACAGGAGGCATGCCCAGGCAAGGGTCAGCCCCTGGCATACTGAGCATGTGTGCTCCATGCAGGGATGTGCAGTTTCGGGTGTCTGTAAAGGTGGGGTACAATGGGAGAGTTGCTGGTTCTGCAGGGTCTTTTGTCTTTCAAACGCTGGGTTCTTGTCTCTGTTCCTGGGTGAGGCCCGTGGTTCCTGGATGAATCAATGTGAGGTGATGGCCTGGTCGTTACAGGCCATTCAGTAGAGGCCTGCTACCATTGTATTTCAATCATTCCCAATCACTCATTCATCCGGGAACCAATTTACATGGGAGGGATACATGAATCATATAGTTGCAACCCAGGGGATGCCCAGTCAGAGGACACAAAATGGAAACTTGACGTTACTTTGGTTCACTTACAAACACAGGTGTCACGGAGCTGGGTCTTGCGGGATGGCTGTGATCTCCCCAAGGCTCCCTTCCCATGCCAAGTTGGCCCAAAGGGCACCCTCACTTCTTGCCCGCCACATCTTTGATGGAGATTAAATATACGGGAGGCTTTCTTACATCCTCTTGGACACGGGTTGCTGTAATATCTGACCCCATGGACTCCTGGACCCCTTGTGGGTCCTGTGCTGCAAATAGGTGCTTTGGGGCACCCTAGCCTTATGGGCTATGCGTGGCTCCAACCACCCCTTTCCCATGCCCCAAGCCTCAGAGATGGAACTGTCGTTGTTCGGTCCGGGCCTTGTTATAATCTGGCCCCCTTTTCCTCTCTGGGCCCTGTGTGGCCCTGGTCCTGCCCTGCGCCTTCTCTAGCGCTCCGGCTCTCTGTGGCCCTGGTCTCACTTGGCGCTCGTCAATGCCGCCCCCTTCCTCTAGGGCTTCTCCAAAATGCTGCCCCCTCTCTCTGGGGCTCACCACACCCACACTGGGGCTTCTCATCAACGCCCCCTCTCTGGGGCTTCTCAACTGCCCCCTTTCTGGGGCTGGGGTCAGTGCCCCTCTCTGGGACTGGGGTCTATACACCCCAAATGCTGCGCCATTGCTGGCGCTGGGGTCCCCACACTGCTGCGAGTCCCCTATGAGGCCTCCTCCAACCCCTAATAGCCTCACCCAAACCACCAGTTTTAAACAGTAACACAACACAAGCCCCTGGGCTGTAACAGAAATTAAAGCCGCCCGGTTAAAACATCATTCAAGCCTACCGGGGAATACTTCATCCTGCAGCATGGTCAGATGCTGCTCCTGTGGTCAGGCTTCTCCTCTCTTCCCTGAGAGAGCTCCTTCCCCCTTGGCTGCTGGCAGGGAACTCCCTCTGGCCTCAGCCCCTAGGGTTTATAAGGGAGCCAGGCCCTGCCCCTTTCAGTCAGCTGACCACTGGCAGGTGTGGGTTGCTTGCTAGCTCCAGTTGCCCTGGCAACCAACAGCTGGGCTCCTTACTCACTGCTAGGGCTCTTTCCTTAGCAGTTTCCTCTCTTTAGGAGCAGGGCACCCAAGTGCTCTGCGACAACAGGCCTAAACCATACAATATCCATATGAAACAATAAAAATCAATACAAAAATGATAATAATACAATATACAACAGTAAGAATCAATACAAACCTAATAATAATACAATATAAAACAGTGGATATCCAAAAACAAAAACTTGCTACCAAAATAAAAATGTTAAAGCTTATCCTAAGTCTGAGCTCGCTTATGCTTGTCTATAGGGAATAGAGAGGGAGAGAAAGAAAAGCCAGAAGTAATTGGGGAAGGGAAGGGAAGGGAATGCATATCTATCATATATATGTATATATGTATGTATATGTGTATGTATATGTATATATGTATGTATTAAAAAAGAAAAACTGGGGGTTTTGCTTCATATCCCCCCCCTTGACATCAACCTTACACAAGGGTGATGTCACTATACTGTTTGAACACCATTATCCAGCTATATAGAAAGGAGGTGTGTCATCTTCAGCTGGTTTGAAGTTAAAACAAAACTTAGGCAGTTAAAAGATATTGAAAGAGAAAAACCTGGGGGGGCGGGGTGGAAGAGAAAGAAAATAACATAATGAGGTTGATTTGAACAGTTACAATGGTATAGTTGTCTCTTTGCTTATTAAAATATGACTTTGAATGCAGTTTTTACATACATTTTGTTATACTGATATTCTAAATAGCATTTATATCCTTAAGAGAAGTACAAACAAACAAACAAACAAAACAAAACATTTTGACATCTCATCAGATAGTTTAGAGAAGGGGGGGTGGCAAAAAAAACCCTAGCCCCCCCAACCCCCCCCCAAAAAAACAAAATACACATAACCGTTAATAAATATCATTTTGCTAACCAAGTGGAATCTAAAACTTTTTTTTTTTGAGAATTGCTGCCCTTGTTTCAAATATCAGAACAACTTTCCAGTCCAACCGGACGGAAGTGTTCTGGTCTGGGATCCACAGACAGATTCAATTTTTAGAGGGGGTATTACCAATGACTCTTATTATATCTTTATGATATTCATATGTATTTAAACTGTGACAACTTAAAGCAAACCAAACAAACAAACACAAAACATATAACAAGACAACACAAACAGACGAGACATTTATTTTTGGAATTTTTACGTGTGCACTAAGGGAAAAAGCCCCAGCTCAAATTTGTGTTGCTTCTATTTGAGCTGCTGCAAGCTCACATACCTCTATGTGTGGATGCATCCTTAGATTGGTTAACTTAAGTTGTATTGATGTGCCCCCTAGTCTTAATTATCTTTTTGTACACTTTATTACCATCTTTCTCTTTATGCAGTCTTTTGGTTGCCTTAGTAACTTTTTAATTCTAGCCTTTTATACTTTGTCCGACCCTCTTTTGGGGAAGATCATTTCCCCACTTCCCTCTTCAGTGCAGAAGTATTAAATAAGATTTCACCTTAGAAAGGGGTCATTCAGACCTCCATATTTTCCTGGTGCTTTTTGGACAGTTCACTTGTTCTGTTATAACACTGGGCTACATGTGGACTAGCATGGGGTGCATTCCTACTTGGTATTAACTATTTTATGCGTCTTCATGATGTTCAGGAGGAGGTATGATCACAATGTCCTGTCTTGACTTGGAGCATCTTGTTTTTGGAAGTGTAAAACAAGTACAGTTGGCTACTTGCTCTTCGTTGTCTTTGTGATGTCGGTGGGCCTCACGTCCGGTACCACCCCTCGTCTGGTAGCCCCTCCCCCTTGTCCCGCCTGCCCCGGC